CACATGCGCCGTCCCTGATGTTTCATGCACACGCTCGGATTTCACGACTGCGTATGTCGTTCGTTCAAGTGGCGTGTATAGCGTCCCAGGAGGAAATGGATGATATTCCAGAGTTCTAATTTTGAAGCATCACTGGTATTTTTGCCTGCGAGTATAGGCGAAATTCAGTAACACAGGCACTGTGTCCCTCGTTTGACGCTCCTCACAAAGACGAAATGAAGCTTGCGGGATAGGTTTTATTTTTACATATTGCTTTGACTAAACTAAGCCAGGGTGATGGTCATTACTACTAGCCATAAGCAGTGAATATAAGCTAAGAGTCTGACATAATAATAATTTTTTTATATTCTTACCTTAACCACTGCGCAAACAATATTACTCAATGTTTTACTACTTACATCGTTGCTCAATAGCGATAAAACATAATGCCTCTCCATGTACACGCCTGCATATTTCGCCCAATTGTATGTGTGATAATTTCCAAGTGCACCAGCATGAACCAGAACCCATTCAAACAGGCACTACCACGACTGCGGGTTTCCGCAATTACCCTTTTTTTTACAGTTAGTTTACTGCGTGCACTTCCGGCCTCAACGTCGCCGAAGGCTTCAAGCGCAGGGTGCAAACTCGTGCAAAGTAACGACTCATCTGAATGCTAATGAACTGCCTTACAACATGTCGCTTACTTAATAGCATAAAAAGTTCGGCGGATGTTGCTGTGGTAGCATGGCAGAGCTTCAGCATGATGGTATAGAGAAATCATTCTTTGAACTAACTTCGCCGCACGAGCCATCGATGTATATAATTAGAATCGGAGAAAACCTGAGAAGCCAGGAGAGGCGCTTCCCAGATGACTGAAGAGCGGTTGATAATTTCCTTTGCGACTAAGGAAACAGTCCTTCTCATATCTGTACACCCGCCAATGATCCGAGGCAGGAGCCAGCAACCTTGCAGCCGATGACGTCAGAGCGCATGCTTATTGGTGCAGCCTTGTACGCTTTCGCCCTTGATGCACAAGTGTCGCTGCTTTCCAAAGTTGTACACGACTATACGCGCTGGCATGCTTGTGGTGAATTTCAAACAGCACTATACTTGTACTGCAACTGTTGCCGAACACAGACGAGTTTCTTTATTGTTTCAATTTTCTCGAAAACCCCTATCTTTTTTTTTGTATCCCTGACAGCAGTTATTTATCATTGTGTCATAAATAAAAACGGTTGACTTGTTTGGCTGACCGGTACACGCGTTCCTTAGTGGCCTCGCTTCCGATGGCGCTAGGGAGATTTTCTGCATCGAACGCTTGTGCAACACCAGCGTGTGTACGTTGAAATGTTCTTCAGATGCTTGCAATTGCCGCAGTTTTAATCAAGATCACTTCGTCAGGGTATAGCCAATCTTCGCTGATCAGCCGCATATTCGCAAAAATGTCTTACGCTAAAAAGTTTGCAAGAGAGCATTTTTAGACGATCCTTGTACTAAGCCGGTATACTTAACTATGGCCAGCCAATGGCGGATTGGAGCACTTGAGAAATAGAACTTCATAAACTAAGTCCCCGAACATTACCGATCGCAAGAGCAATTTTCTTTCGGAAAATCATCTGATTATATTTTGTGTACTAATGATCCCCTTTTTTCCTTGCTTATTGTAGAGCAGCAATGGCCCGGACGCCATGCTTTGGACTGCTGCTTTTGATGCTGCCCGTTGCACTGTGTCACAAACGGCAACCTCACATCATCTTCATTCTAGCAGATGATTTGGTAAGTTAGCTGTCTTAAGTAGTATCGCTCTGAAATTTGATATGTGGAAATGTTCCCGGTGGAGAATAAGTGGCCTTTCTTTGCCCATCGGGTACAGGAGGTGTTCCACGAGGGTGCATCACGGGAAAAGTTGTATGCGCGCCCTGGGATTAAATAGGCAAAGGGTTTTCCTTGAACACTGTTTGTTAGTTCATGGAAAGAGAGATGGAAACATACGACAAAACATCTCCTTTACGGTCCAGGTGCTCTGAAGAAAAAAATCATCTTCCATAAAAAAGAAAAACAGAAAAAGTTGAAATCTGTGCTTCTTTGTCATAGCTAGATAGTAAAAAATTACGCTAGGTCATCAAAATCAATGACGCAGTTTAAATAACGTCCTCAAATAATTCGCAGGTTGTGGGTTTGGATCACATCTAAGGAAGGGGTGACCTTTCGTCTATGATTCATTCGAACTTACCGCATTACTGCACTACAGTTAGAGACAGCAAGTACAATCATCTATATTTTCTCTGAGTTAATTGCATGTTGAATTGATTAGGTTGTGTCTTACGAAAAAACGAGCGCCTTGAGAACATTTTCCTTCTTTCGTTCCTTTTGTAAGGGGGGTAGTTATTGGCAAAATCTTACACGGGGTACGTAGCTCTCTAGAATAAGTGCCGCATACTACAGCATAAAATCCTTTGAGATTGTAGCATTTGGTCCAACTCGATTCTAATTTTATAGATATATCAGTTACCGGTACATCTCACCTGAAATCGTTAATCTCGCTATAGCATTTTCTCCGCAATGACCACTGGCCTTTCGTAATGCCATTGTTTAAAAAAAAAGAAAACGTTGACAATGTTCGACTTGACCTGCAATATTTGCGCCGAATAACTATCGTTAAAGGATGGCATATAGGTATGGCGGAAATGCTACAAGTGAAGCAAGGTTCTGTTGAACTCACACCTTCTTTGACCATGCAGCGCCGAGCGCCAGCAAGAAGCACTATCGCATGCACACAATAATGAAGACGATTACCTGCATGCGTTGCCAAAGAAGGCTGTTGCACGATACAGGAAAATAGTTATTGAACGCAATGTTCCTTCTATGTACGAACGTCAAACTCGTGGCTATGGGGCTTTACTTCTCTAGATCTTCCTGTAGTAGTATCAATAGAATTTGGAAGACAAAAAAATCAAAGCAATACACCAATTGTGTAGCTAGCCATTATTTTCATGGCGGGTTGGGGGAGGACATGTATATTGATCTGTGTTTATACGTGAGCATCTACATGCATTTATGTAAGACGAAAATTTGGTGGGGGGGGGGGGACCTGAGTTGTTTAGTTAGAAATATTTCGTGAACGCAAGTTTCGTGCTTTTCAGAACGCAATTAAAGCGCAATTCATTTCTTTCTTCTTATCTTTTTTCTCTGTGTTTTTTTTCTTGAAACGAATGCCGACCGCGATAAATGCGACCCATAGCTAGAGTTTCAGCGTTCGGGTTGTGTGATACTCTCTTCATTAGTTCGGTTGTCTCTCGCTTTTTGAATTCGTTGGAAATAGAACAACAACAAAAAAGCGCAATGTAAACTGACCCTGCTATCCATGCTCGCACAAGTGACATTGGTGCCTGATTACAGGGATGGAACGACGTGAGCTTTCACGGATCCTCTCAGATCCCCACGCCAAACCTGGATGCCCTGGCTGCAGACGGCATCATACTCAATAGCTACTACGCGCAGCCATCCTGCACACCTTCGAGGTCGGCTTTCCTGACCGGACTTTACCCCATACGAACAGGTGAGACACCTACCGAAAAAAAAAACCTACTCTAAACAGTGAACTATCTGTATACGAGCTTGTGCGTCCCAGTGTCCCTGTATGCGAGGGAATTTGTGCTCGCGGGAAGGGACAAGTGATGTCGCAATTTCACCAGACATGGTTATGGTGAAATGGCTTTATATAACGGTTTCTCGACTAGCCTGGTCTCGACGACTTGAGCATCCAGGTTTTACATTTGCGTGGCAATCGCCGCTGCCAGCGCTTAACACATAACAGGTGAGCTCGGAAAGCACAAATGCTATTTCTTGCATGCGAAACTCGAGGAAACATACGGACACACCTGCGGCCTTTCTGCAGGTATCAGGAACATCGTCAAAGGTTTGTTTCACCGAAAGCCCGTAGCATTGAATGCGACAGCAACAAATTAGAATGCTCTAGGAAGTAAAGCTAGCACTTAACATTTTCCTAGCATTCGAGGATGCGCAATTCTACAAAACACCGGCGTCGAATGCTAAAGAGCACAGCTCTCGTCCTGTATGCGTGCCTTTCTGTGTTCTGCTAAAAGACGCCTATGAACTACTAGAGTTTCAGCCGGATTCCATGGTATCCACACGTTATGAAATGCCATGCTCAAATACCCTTTTGGACCAGAGCATTGTGTGAAATTTGTTTTGTAAGGCCTACTGTACATTTGTGGAGGTGGCCTTAAGTATTTTATACGCTACGTATACATATAAACCTCATTTGTAATAAATATCATGTAAGACAAAAACAATATGACAATATGACCCATTGTTTGCGTCCTTCTCAAATTTTAGGCCATGGAGGAGATGGATTTTTGCTCACAACCAACGGCGCCAATGTTGGCACCGTTGGTTGAGTTCTACAGCGCTATCGCGTTAATACAACTGAAAATTTTGGTGACAGTGCCCCTTTAACTTGATGGAGTGTGGATAAACGTAGACTAAGTTTGTGAAAATCAACAGGAATGTACCCAATAGTTTAATAACCTCACTCCTTTATTTGAACATATTTCTAACATTTTGTGTGGGTACCAATAAGGTTAAAGCTTCGTTTGGACAACCTTCAATAAGCTTCAGACGAATTGGCCATCTATTGTGCTACCCGTTAAAATTGTTTAACAGTGCGGAGCACATGGTAAGCAAAGAAAATTCAACAAGCATGCATAACACGAGTGCTGTGTGTACCTTTGCTTAGTGTCCAGCGCAAGTTCAACTGTTTCAATACTGTACCAACTAGCTCTGGCTTCTGCGCATTTGAAATAACCTTCTACTCGTCCGCAGGTTTGCAGGGGCTGGCGGTTGACGTGGCTGACCCATGGGGTTTACCTGTCGACGTTCGTCTCATGCCCCAGTATTTGAGAGACATTGGATACGAAACGCACCTTGTTGGAAAGGTGCGTCTCTCTATCATCTGTATCATCGCTTTGTCTCCTCTCTCGTCGTTGTATGTGCGGATGACCCTGCATTGTGTTGCGCCCAAAATCGCGATTCCCTGCCAGCCATTGGCGCTTATGCAGGCATTTCCTTTGAATATGCTTGCCACATTGGGTGCGTCTCTCTCCCTGACACACACGTACTTTATCCACGCAGTGGGACGTTGGCTACTACAAGACAAATCTCACGCCAACATGTCGGGGCTTCGACAGTTTTTACGGCTACTACAACGGAGAGGAGGACTACTACACGCACAGCATAACGCATGTAAGTACGTCTTTGAAGCTCGCGCACGTGCCAATAATGGTATGTTGTCTGTTCTATTAAAAAGACCATCACGGCCGCGTAAAGTGACTCAGTGCTTGTACTGATAGGCAATGTAAGATTAAAACTGCACCGCAATAATACTTACAAATGATTATTGCATCAGCAGGTATCCAAACTTCCAGAACGCTGCGTAGACTGCTAAGGACTCTGCATGCCCAAATATTGTCACGAAAACACCTTTATGAAAAGCCCGTGATTTGTCTAAAGTCCTCTCTTCCTACTTGTTGACTATATATATGCTCGTCGTCTTTACATTGGCCGTAAGGCAGAGATAGTCTTCAGAAGTGCATTTTATAGTTGCAAGCTAGTTGACCCGAGCGATGCTGTAAATTTTTCAACAGTGTTGTTCAACAAAGCGTTAACTACTGTACTGTTGTAAAATTTTCATGGGACCGGTCAGCATGATTAGTGGTAGTTTAGGCGATCATGCAGCGTCACCCCTCCCCCCCCCCCCCCCCCCGATTAAAAAAAGTGCATGTGTTAATAGCAGCAGTTTTTATCTCTCTAAGCCAGTCTATACTGACACAGTTTAGATATTTCTTTTACTGGCGCCTTTACGCATTCTGTGATATTACAGTATAGCTCGTTCTGCATTGTGTGTCAGCTGCAGGTGTGTGCGCGTTTGTTGCAGGAGAACCACACGGGACTCGACTTCTGGCTCAACCGGGAACCGTTATCCTCCGAAAATGGTTCATATTCTACGACTCTTTTCACGGAACGAGCGCAGTACCTGATTCGAAACAGGAACAAGTCAAAGGTGAGAACAAGAAACTTTACGGCATTTGAGCGAAACACAACGCGAAAATTTAGAACAGAAAAAAAAAATTGCCCGCAGCTTCCCTCGGGGGAACACTGAGGAGGATGCGGACCATATAATTGGTTAACGGGGTGTTAAAGTGCGACTTACTTGGGTCGATGGCTAAATTGGTTAACGTGGTTGTGAAATGGGGTGTTAAATTGCGACTTACTTGGGTCGATGGCTAAATTGGTTAACGTGGTTGTAGGAGGGGGTGTTAAATGAGTGAACACGTACACACGTATGCGAAAGGGCGGCGCTGGTCGAAGGGACGTCGATCATTGTGTTTGTGGATTCGTTGGAATTCATTTCACCGCGACCTTGGACGTCGACGCGCCGTACAAACCAACCGACGAGCGGCAACTGAGCGAGCGAGCGCCGACCTTGAGTATATATACAGCACGACGGCGCATGCACTGTCAGCTGTTGAATGTTCTCAAAGCGCGACGCCACATGCGCGTCCACTGGAGAATCAGGAGAATTGTAGATGTCGAACGCGGTGTGTAGAGGAGGAAGGGTGCACAGATGGTGGAGGAGTGAAGCGCGCGCGGTGTGTAGAGGAGGAAGGGATGCACAGATGGTGGAAGAGTGGGCGACGGCGCGACGGCGCATGCGCGCGCGTCAGCTGTCGAATGTTCGAGAAGCGGTGTGGACGGCGCGGATAACGCGAACGGCGCACTACAATGCGCGAGTATAAGATGCTCCGCATCTAAAACGAGGACACTTACCTGGCAAACGCAGTCATTGTTTTTCATACAGTGCGCTCATGCAGTGACGTACCAAAATAAACTGTCGTTTCTCAAAGCGCAATATCTGACTTCTTCATTTAAGGTATTCATCGGCAAGCATAAGTTTATATAAGTTAGATCCTATGCATACTGGTCGCTATTTTTGTTTTTTACAGCGAAAGCTGTTATGAGGTCCTGACAAGGATCACCTGCGCCGTAGTTGCACGTCAACACCACCGGCGTCCGCAACCGCTGTCGCACGAAATATATAACTGAATAAAAACATTAAGGACCCGATGAGATTTGAACCTGAGACCCCTGCGTACCAGCCCAGTATTCGACCACTGAGCTAAGCCGGTGCTTGGAGCTGCCGATGCAAACTGACATTAGGGAGGCTTGATGTCGGTAAAGGAATCACTTTAATACGAGTAATAGAGCGTCTTAGAGCAGCAAAGGAACAGCCAGGCGTCACACAATGCGAATTGCGTAAAGAGTGGGTCTCCAAATGCTCCAACCTATTACAATGGCTTCAGGCATATTACTTCATGGTCATCAGCCACAACATAAAAAAATACTCAAAATGTTTTGCAAATGTCTAGAAGGTACCATGTTTATCCGAAGAATGACGAAGGATGGCATAGTGACTGTCTGCCTACTACACAAAAATTACGATGATTTATGGCATAGTGGGTACCCTGAAAGTGTGCTTGTAGCAGTTACCCAAAGAGTGTTTAAAAAAGCTCTGAAAGGCCGCTCTTTCAACTTTCGCTTTGAATGTGCTGTGCATTCCACGCAGGCCTGGCGTTTTATTATTTTTTGATTAGTTGAAGGTGTTATGAAGAAGCTTCTATATCTTAGTGTCATTCAGAAGGTACCCTAAGATATTTTTACATGTGTGTTTCCCTCTTGTATTAGTATTGAAATTTCATTGACAGTTGAATGTATGTTATTTCATTGTTCGATTTTTTATTGCAGTGTAATAAGAAAAATTAAGCATAACAATGACGCTTCACTTAATGCTTAATTTATCAAAAGTGCTATTGCTATTCTGCCCACCACCCCTCCCACCCTTTGCGCGCTATTTTAATGTAACGTGACACAGACTTTATAGCTCCTATGGGAAAACCTGTTGCAGCATCTAGTCAGTCAATACAGCCCGAAGTAACATATCACCACTGATAGTTCGCAACGCATTCTAACAGTTCCTATGGCCAGTGTTGTCGAATGCTCATTTGCAAGCATCCCGTTCTTTCTGCTACTCTTTTCCACAGCCGTTCTTTCTGCTCCTGAGTCACCAGTCACCACATGGTGCCGGAGAGCCCGAAACCTTTGAAGCACCGAAGGAAAATGTGGACAAGTTTCCATACATTCGAGAGAAGAACAGAACAATTTATGCAGGTGAGAGTCCCTGGCAGTGCACGTCAGCAGCACACATAAATGCTGGTTGGATTTATCATCTACGTGCGCCGTCAGGCGTGACCTTGATAAGATGTAAGTGCACTACGAGGCATAAAACACGGATGGCCAAAAAGACTAGGACAAGCGCAGGTTCCCGTCTGTGTTTTCTACCGCGTAGTGTACTTAGATCATGTATCACCGACTGGCTCAATCGTCCACTTTGATTAGCTTGATAAAATATTCGTACAGGTTCAACCACCTCGGTTTACACTATTCTGCATAACATACGCAGTATATTGCAAATTCATTGTACAGCTATACACTTTCGTGCCCATTATGGTTATCATAGGTGCATTTCGTGCAAGTTGAATTTTAAGAGTCATTTGTGATTAGCTTTAGAGATAGAGAGAGAAAGAATATAAGAAATATAAAGAGGTTGGCTGGACTACGTACAGTTTGCTACCATACCTGTGGGGAGAGGGGAATAAGAGAGCAAGATAGAGAAAGAGAGGAAAAGATGCACATTGCCTACCGCACACTTTAGTCGCTTGGGTTCGAAGATGTTTTCGACGTCATGTTGCTGGGATTTCTTGCTATGATTCAGTTGCATATACCTTCGGAGTTCAGTCTACGTTAATGTCTCAGAGTTCCACGCGATGGCCAATCTGTCGTTTGCAGTGTCTTCGGTTAAGGTCTAAATTTTCAAGCTGCCTTGACAGCCGATTCTAGACGATACGCGTGCATATTGTCATCGACTCCAACGCGGATGCTTATTCATTATACAACTTATGTGTGTGCAGGAATGGTGGACGCACTAGACCAGTCTGTCGGCGAAGTTTTCAAGACTCTCCGCGATGCTCACATGCTCGACAACAGCAGTCGTCATCTTCAGCAGCGACAACGGTGGCCAACCATGGGGCCGGCACTGCGACCCGCAGCATCAACTGGCCGCTGCGCGGATCCAAGGGCACGGTCTGGGAAGGAGGCACCAGAGTTCCAGCTTTCGTGTGGAGCCCCCTTCTGGCCAACACTCGGAGGGTGTCCAAACAACTGATACACATCACCGACTGGCTGCCCACGTTATACTCAATCGGAGGTTTGTCCATTGTGTTAGCCTCAGTCCATAAAAAAACACGCACAGTGTCCTATATGCATTCGCCTACCACAACTTGAAGGCGAAAGCCGTTCTCCTCTATTTCTTTTTCTCTAGTGCCGATTTCATGGATCGTCCTTCAGTCCACGAACACATTATTCGCCTTACGTCGTTTGTTGAGATTATTCAGGGACGTTAGTTATTACACTGCAGATAATACAACAATTAACAAACAGCCTGGATGCTGGTGTAATGCAGCACAGAAAGTAATTAATGTGAAGTAGAAAGAATAAGCGTCCAAGGACAGTGACTTGTGGTAGACCTGATGTGACGGGACAATCGCGTGAGTTATAGCCATCTGATGTTACGCATTAGGTCCTGTTGGATAGGAAGCATCTAATTATCTACAATAAGTACGTATATTTAGCATGCTTAATTTTAAGAAGAGTAAACGGCGAGAAATCATAGCGAAAACTTTCTTGAAATCTAGAAAAATATAGACTATACTGGAGCCAGTCTCAGATGCCGAAAATACGTGGTTACTAAAAGAAGTGTTTCACATGAGTAGTGTTTCCAGAAACCGTTCTGGCTGTTATGACAGAAGTTTCCTTTTCAAGGAATATATTATCAAATTGGGATAGATGATATTGATACAAGTCATCATTAACATCAACGAATGCTCCTAAAGGCGACGAAGATGACGATTGAACAAAAGCTCGTGTTGTTGTTGCTACTCCACCATCTTGGTTCAAGAACACTGTGTACTCCGTGTACAATCTGCAAATATACTTCTACCCTGTGCCTGCTCTCACCCCGTGACAATATACTCGAGAAGCTTACACGGGATAATAGATAAAGTGATTGCGCTGCAGTTGAATGAATTATTGATTGATATGTGGGGTTCAACGTCTCAAACCTACCATGTGAAAATAGGAGACGCCGTAGTGGAGGGCACCGGAACTTTCGACCCCCAGGGGTTCTTTAACGTGCACCCAAATCTGAGCACACGGGCCTACAAAATTTCCGCCTCCATCGGAAATGCAGTCGCCGCTGCCGGAATTTGATCCCGTGATTTGCGGGTCAGCAGCCGAGTACCTTCGCCACTAGAGCACCACGGCGGGGCAGTTGAATGGATTAGATGAGCAACCTGATTTAGGTGCAGCAATTACTTTTCCCCCATCCAATCGCTGGACACGTTCCAATGAACATGAAAAACACTGCGGAAAAAATTACTGCAATAATTTACAGCCTACTTGGTGAACTGGAGAGCGACTCTACCTATGGCAGGTGCTAAAGTTTTCAGATTAATGTCAAGATAAAAAAAAACCCCTCATGGATCAATCATGATTGCTTCTATGAGAGGATGTCCAGGATAAGCTTGAACTGGACCATATTGAAAGTTGTCAGTTGAAGATGCGTTCATAAATACGTATTCCAAAGCTTCGCAGCACCCATCATTCGCAATCGCTGAATCAAGTTCATTACAAAGAACAATGCTCCTATTTTTCGGACCATTACCAATGCTCCAGAATAAACGAAGATTGTATTGTCAAATATAAGGAAAAGAAAAGAGAATATTAATAAGAAAGGAAAAAAAAAAGTACTTGATTGCTTGGTGCTCACTACTTGAGCGGGCACGGATTATGCGCTCCATATGCCTCCATATGCAGATGTTGCCGGACGTAACGGCACGGCTCGAATCGCGCAGGCATTAGGAAGTGCTGGTACTATCGCACAATGCAGATTCCGTTCCATGCAGTGGGCTGGAAACAGTCAGATAGTCCATTTCCTTCGAGGCGTCGGCCATCGATCAGAGTGCGCAGTATACATGCGGCGCTACTTTCCGCGATCATGCACTTGGCGGCGCACCAACAAGCCGCTCTGTTCACGGAAAAAGAAAAATGTGACCATGTCCACAACGGTGGCTATTTATTTATTTATTTATTTATTTATTTATTTATTTATTGTTTTGGTTATTTATAACTGATGCATCTGCAGCACCCTTCTCACGCCAGACAAGTCTTCACAAAGCTCATAAAGTTACACTTTATGACTATTCTTTCGTATACGAAAGGTAATAATCGGTAGTCAATGGGCTTAGTTGCTTAGGTGTAAGCAACTAAGCCCGTTTCAAGTAAACATAAAGCGAGAAGTAGCGTATTAATACAGAAAAGAAATCCAGCTGAGGCTAAACGTTTAGCCTCAGCTGGATTCTTTGCATTATTGCATTAACATCGCATTCATTTGACGCATGCTTTTGCAGGTGGTGACGTGCAAGCCCTAGGCAAGCTAGATGGATTCGACATGTGGCGGTACCTGTCTCAAGGGGTAGGATCGCCTCGTGTCGAGATGTTGTACAACATTGACTACCGGTTCATGAACGCCTCAGCTCTTCGACTGGGCCGTTACAAGTTGGTGCTCGATGCCACCGGGTTCATGAACGAGCGCTACGTTCGACCGGGTGGCAACCGTCCGTACAAGGACCTCGACAAGCTGCTAGCCCGGTCGACCGTAGCCAAAGTTCTCAGAGGCTTCTACAAAAAGGACGGGCTAAAGTTTCCCAAGGACTGGAGAGAAAGAGCGACGTTGAAGTGTGGCGTGCCGGACAAGGGAGAATTTTACCCGAACGACGCGGTCCACCTGTTCGACATCTTGGAAGATCCATGCGAGCTGAACAATTTGGCCAACTCACATCCAGAGGTCAGTACTGACGGCGTGTCTGTTTGAGTTGGGAGCAAAACATATATAGACAATTTCGAGGATGAGTTCCAGTGTCACCATGTTGGGCTTTTAAACTTTGTGTTTTGTACATTTAACAACTCAACAAACAGTGTTATGGTACACGCATACGCATGAATACGTTTGGGTGGCTGCATACGATGTTCCATGACCTTGTTAATTCTCGTCGCGATATCAAAGAGAGAGAGAGAGAGAGAGAGAGAGAGAGAACATCGTCTTAACCACCCAAGGTAGCGGCACCTAGGTGTCTTACAGAAAATAATCCAAAGAGGGTTTCATCTGGTGTGAGTTGGTGGATTGCTTAGGTATAAGTGACCGTAATGCGAAATACATGCCGTGAAAGGGTGACCCAGACAAGAGAAGAGTACGAAGCGCCAACTTCTGCCGACTATCTAATGAACTTCGCACAAAAGTATAGAGGGGAATAGGCACCTTCCGCGCTTGTTTAAAGAGCCGAAGTAGGATGTAATACTCCTTGGTCTTGATAACATGTTGCGACGAGTATCCAGTTCTGAGTATTGCAGATATGTGTCTGACACAATCATACCATTTCTCCTTGATATAGAAGGCTTCCAACAATTCTCTGACCATTCGCGCTTCAATTTCTTTTCCTTTCCGCCCTCATTTAGGAAAATGTGTTTGGCGCCAGTGTCAAGCATACCGAAGCAACAGCTAGGTCGTTGTGTTTGAGTAGTCCACTATACAGAACTTCGAACACTCAGATGAAGTTAACTACTTCCCAAAAAACAAAAACAAAAAAGCAAGCAACTGTACGCATGCTAGACGTATACAAGTGTGCTACTGTCACAAAGAAACAACACCACTGAGACATAAACAGGTTTGAACGGTACACACACGGGCGCTGTACTGAATTGTTGAATGGTCAGGGTATATCTGCACCATATCTTCACTAAGAAAACATGCATTGTCTAAAAATGCAGCAATAGCCCACATTAACAACACTTCTCTTACGCAGTAGCCTAACTGCTATACGTACTGTGAAGTTGACTAACAAGGTGAAGTTTAATCTATTGGTAGGAAGTTTACTATAATTAGAACGTGCAAGAAGTATTATGTTTGTGTGCGTGCGCGTGCGCGTGCGCGCGCGCGTTGTGTGCCCGTGTGCGAGCGTTTGCGAGTGTGCTTGCGTGCGTGCACGTGTGGGTTTAGACGATGGCCCCTAGTACTCGGAATACGAACATTCATCTCTATATATCTGCTTACATCTTGTGTACATATGCTAATTTCGCTTACTGCTTCAACAGGTTGTGACGTTCTTGAAGACGCGAATCAGCGCCTACCAAGCTGAAGCGATGCCCGTGCAGTACAAGCCCAAAGATCCTGCTGGATTTCCAGAGAAACACAACGGAACTTGGGCACCTTGGGTGCAGACATCGTGCAGCTAGCACAGCGAGCTTTCGAGGCGCTGTGCAAAATATGTTCACCAATTAATTAAGACAATCTCACTGCAAAACATATTTGAGTAACTACTTATTGAATGAAGATCGAAAGCACGCCTTCCTGATTGCTTCGAGGGAACCTAGACGACCGCCCATGACGGAGCAGAACACCCTGGGAACATGGCCTGATGCGACACATCAACAGAGCAATGCAAAGAAATCGCTGCCACGCTCCCTGAGGTCAACCAACTTGCATGGCCGACTGCAACAGACTGCATAACAAACGTCTGGACATGCATCTGCGTACAAGACGCAGATCTCTCCTTGTGATAATTAAGTGTCCTTTGTAGCTTACAAAGTGCACAGTTGCCGACGGAGTTTGGCATCATCAAGACTATCATTGGGCGTTGCGTTTACCCGTGCACACCCGTACCGCATAGGGATGGCCGACACCATCGCCTGCGCACACTGCGGAGATGAGAAGACGATTCCACACGTCCTGTGCGACTGCCCTGTATATAAAAACACAAAGACAATATAATTATAGTACAATGATAAAGTTAGATGGCTAGGCGTTGTCAGAGGAAAGTATATTACGCCATCAACTAGACTCATCACCACAGAACAAGGCCGTGCAAACGCTACTGAACTTTTGTGAACTACTGGCCAGTGTGAACAACTCTGAGTGGATTGATTTTGTATGTGCATGTGTGTCTGGGTATTTTTTCCTATTTATTTTTTCTCTATCTCTTTCAACCGTCTATTCTGAAACCTCACTGCAGAGTAGAATACCGGGTAGCTCCCTGCGTTTTTTTTTTCGTTTCTCTCTCTCTCTCTCTTTGCATCATCAACGGGGCTAAGTGGCATCGGTAGCAGCAGCATCTCTGCGCATGCGTGCAGTCTCTATATATCTCATGTTTAGCTGTTTCCAATTGTTTTTATAGTTTGCGCAAGAAAGTTGATCATCCGGAATCAACTAGCTCATTATAAGCTTTTTATCATCAACGTATTTATGTTTGCCCATTACTATTCTTCCTACCTGAGCGCTCATAAAAATACACGCCAAATAATTGTAATCCCCCCCCCCCCCCCACACACACAAACTTACATATGTTTCTTTAGAAGATCATGAAGTAAGGGTCTGTTTTTCAAAGTGTGTTTGAAAAATGCTGTGATAAAACCAGCGCTGATCGATGCGTTTAACATGCCCAAAATATACGCACAGGCACGGCGCGAAAACTCCTTTTCTAATTTATTGCGGATGTCTAACGTACATGATGCATTTGGCCTCTTTCTTTCAACGTAGTCATGTTGGTTGTGATACATAGATCTGTCGAAGTATATGTGCCGATTACTGGAATGTTACGAAGCTTTTGTTTTTTGTACATAGTGTAAATAAACTTTTTCTAGACAGTATATTAAAAGTTCTAGAATACGTCTATATGTGCACTAAAAACGGGCACGCGTATTGCTCGCAAAACTATAAATTTCAGTATTGTGCGGAAAATTGGACCTGTATGTCATCAGTCATCTTACAGGAGTGGTAATTACCGCCATTCGTGTAGTAACAACGAACAATGAACGCAGAAAATATTGAAGCGATGCACTGTGGTGTTTGTTCCCTGGTAAAGAGTGCGAGCCAAGTACGAGCCTGATGTCAAAGAGTGTTCAGCGTACCAATGAAAATGTATTATCGTACGAAAATTGCGTTGAGAGAAGACAATAAATGCATTAAAGCACCTATTGAAAGGTTAACTTATGTATGCTTCACCTAGCATAGCCAATCGTGTAGCATCATGAGTGATACGACAGGAACACGAAATTTTTTCACGTGTTTTGCGTCTCTGTATAGGTACAGGTATTTATGAAAGTGTTTAATATTTCAATGTAATTTTGCACTAAAGGTTAACTTCATGTTCAGCATTGACGAGGAGCCGGATATTAATGCTGAATAAATATATTTATACTATCTGTATCATAGTGTTCTGGAATGTATAGCGTTTTTTGAAACCGCCACCACGACAGAGTGGGTGGCACTTTGCTTGCTCTTGCTGTGCTCTGATAAAGTAAGCACGATGTAATGCGTATTGGAAAGTACAAGAATACGAGTATAAAAAAGGATCAACGTCATAAACCAGCACGCACTCAATCAACTACCAAGAACTTGGTACAGGTGGTTAACAAGAAAACCTGCAACGTGCGTTCCCTAAAAGGTGTTGGCCGCCCGCGTGTTCTCTAATTAATTTTTAGCAGCTTAATGTAGTGAGCTGTGCGGGATGTGCTCAATTTCTGTGGCACATAGGCAGAGTTATACAGCAGAGCTGTTTTGGTCGAGCTGTGCCTACAGACATGAATAAAGAAAAAAAAATTATGTCCCAATCCATGCTACAGGGGAGATGTAAGCAACGCTCAGAACAATTACCCATAGTGACGTCACGATGGGTAATCTAAATGGTGATGTAAATTATTTGAAAGAATGGAGTTTCTCTAACGGGAGACTTTGCATGAATCTTACTGTCATAAGCACAAACGTCACACATTCGGAAAAGAAATGAAGTTACACGGCCACACACAACAATTTCAGAAATTTTGGGACATGTCCGTTTACTCGAATCATATGTACATGTTTCTTCTCAACAGTCACCAGGGATTGTGTAGTCGTGTACTCTGATACGCGTGAAACGCTGGGGGATTCGCCACCGCGTCAGAAGCAACAATGCTCGCTTCACATGGGGGCACCACTGATAGCAACGATTCCAACACAAATGCAAGGAAGTCGAAATGAACATTTTTGATGGCGCAGCCAGCGACGTGGCCCAAGTAATAATTAAACAACCTTGCCTCGATGAGGAAACGCCTGGTCTCTTGGGTCATGTCTACGAAAAAATAACCATGGAGCTGCCAAAAAAATTTAATTTCTGAAGTCATATTTAAACTTGTAGTTACGAGTGCAAGAGCACCGTTGCTATGATTCTGCACGAAAATCTGACAGCAATGAGAATTTCCGTACATAACCTCTACCGTGCTTAACCCCAATAATTTCGGTGAAATGAAGCTCCAAATTTACTGCGAGAAGACACGAAACTGAACAACGTGTTTAGTGAGCAAGTACACGAGAAGAACAGACACAACAGCGGCGGTGGTATTCTAGGGCGAGTGCATAAGATACATTTTGCAAGACTCGATAATGCAAGTGAGCACGGGTCTTGGCACACCAGTGAAAACAGTGTCCGTAGATACGCGGATTCCTCCAATACAAATAACCCTAGAGGAAGGTGAACCCTCATATCATCTATATGAAGCACCCATGAACACCTCAACCTAATCATGTAAATATTGTGTCCTCCGTCTTAAAATCATATTTCTTATGTACCAATGGGTGTAGCGTTCACGCAGAAGTGTGTTTTTGCTTTTCAAACCCGTCGCAATGCGGCTGCCGCGAACAGGATTGTAATCCACCATCGGGGTTTGTTAGCAGTGAGACGCAGACTTTTTAACCCCTTTCCCAAATCGCCTATACGATTGAGCGCGCGATTATGCAGAAGCAAAAGTGAACATTTATTGTTTTACGAGGAACATTACTGATTCTGTTTTCGTCATTCATGTTCTGCTTGAGACGAGCAGAAAACGAACGCAAACTATGGCACAGCGCGTGCACGAAGCGAGCGCGTCGTCATGTAGGCTCGTGGCGCCGGGCATCGGGGAGTGCGTGCCGTGACGTCACTCAGGCCCCCACACCAAGAGGCGCCACTCCAACTTGTCGAGGCCAATACGATATGCAGGCCGTCTCTGTTTGATTGATATGTGGGGTTTAACGCCCCAAAACCACCATATGATTATGAGAGACGCCGTAGTGGAGGACTCCGGAAATTTCGACCACCTGGGGTTCTTCAACGTGCACCGAAATCTGAGCCCACGCGCCTACAACATTTCCGCCTCTATCGGAAATGCAGCCGCCGCAGCCGGGATTGGATCCCGCGGCCTGCGGATCAGCAGCTGAGTACCTTAGCCACTATAGACCACCACGGCGGGGCAGGCCGTCTCAGTTATCACGCAGCATGATTTAAAAAAAAAAAGAGAGAGGAAGGTTGTTGTGTGAAGCAAACCTATAGTGCATATTCTTCCCGGTGTTACTATATCCGCCACTAACCTTGTCGTTATTGGCCATTAAATAATTAGTCATTGTTATATTTGTAACTCAAAAAGTATTTGAATAATTATTAAAATGTCAGTGAGGCAGATTTGGAAACGTTGAAACGATATCTGTCCGTGCTAATTCCAACAACGTATTTTTCGCGTTCTCATTTTTTTTCTCTGTGGATAAATAAGCCCACAAATTGTAAAAAAAGAACACGTGATGGTGCGCACACTTGCTAAAGAAAGTAGTGCCCTCAAATAACTTTACTACTTTGCTTCTTTTTCGTTGCCAGAGACCGCGTTTTGATTGATTGATTTGTAGGGTTTAACGTCCCAAAACCACCATATCATTATGAGAGACGCCGTAGTGGAGGGCTCCGGAAATTTTGACCACCTGGGGTTTTTTTAACGTGCACCCAAATCTGAGTACACGGGCCTACAACATTTCCGCCTCCATCGGAAATGCAGCCGCCACAGCCGGGATTTGATCCCGCGACCTGCGGGTCAGCAGCCGAGTACCTTAGCAACTGTGTGTCAACAGCATGCGATGCAGTTTTGCAAGGATCTCTTCCGCTTGATTGTACGTCCTTACCACCATTAAATGCAGTCAAGTGTCCCCATAGATAACGCGGCCGGATCACCGTTCTGAGGGATTGCGGCCTGACTGTGTAAGATAAAGGTGGCGCGTTTCTTTGAACGGGAAGTGGCAGATAACGCGATCCGTATTTTTTCTTTCTACATTTCCTACATTGCTATACTGGCTCAAAGTGAGCTTTGTTTGAGGGCTCTTCTTTTTGATGCGCGCAGCCGTTTAGTCGCGTCTTATTTTTTTTTTTGTATTTCGCGGGCTTTCTTTATAAACAGGGGAAAAAAAAGAAGCACGCCATTAGTACATTTTTAAAAGTAGCACAGACAGATGTCGTTTCAACATGCACACATCTGTTTTATTGACACTTTGATAATTTGGCGAGTACTTTTAGAGTTATGAATAAAATTATGAATAATTATTTATTTGTCATTAACAGAAAAATAACTAGGGCTACTACAGTACACTGGAAACAATACGCACTAGCTTTGCTTAGCGTATAGCCGTTCTCTTTTTTTTTACTCGTCATACGTGATTACTGGGACGTTCTGTAGATGTGCATATAAAAGTGGAGGAGTGTTGATCGGCGCCGCCAGTATCCATTACGGCAAGTGTGGAAAACTCTGTTTTTTTTGCTTGTTGGCTTTACGTACCACGTGATCTTATTACGAGCTGGCAGCCGACGCTATATTGCACCAACCAGCTCACACAATCAATTGAAAAGCATAACGCTGGGAGCATAACGTTGAAAAGCATAACGCTGAAAAGCATAATGTGCGCATAGTTCAGTGAAAAACTTAACGCTGGCAGTTGAAAACTATATACAGCAGTGACAATGCATTATGCTTTGTCACAGAGGAATGAATGATTTTGCCTTGATGCGGAAATTCAAAGTAAGGTGCATTGACTGTAGGCCTGTGTGCTCAGATTTGGGTGCACGTTAAAGAACCCCTGGTGGTCGAAATTTCTTGAGTCTTCCCCTACGGCTTCTCTCATAACCATATGGTGGTTTTCGGACGTTAAGCCCCACATATCAATCAATCAAGGTGCTTTGACTAACGTGGTGATTTGTGTAGTCCGTTTGACAGCGCTACCGCAGTACAGGTGTGCGAAAAACGCCCCCCCCATATATATATATATATATATATATATATATATATATATATATATATATATATATATATATATATATATATATATATATATATATATATATATATATATATATATATATAGTCTAGTAGATCCTCCGTGAGCGGTCACAACGTGGTTTATTTCGACGTTTCGGCCTAGAGTCTGGCCTTCATCAGGAATCTTATATATCAGGAATATACATATATATATATATATATATATATATATATATATATATATATATATATATATATATATATATATATATATATATATACTCTTCTACAAGAGCTTTTGTTTAGCTGTTACAAGTAGTTAAGTAGTTGCGCGTGGAGCTTGCACCTAACAACTGAACGTTTATTGAACACGTGAACCTTATATTGTGAGCGATCATCGATGGCACCACAACACGACGTCTTGCTCAGTGCCGCGCGAAGTGTGCTTTACTAAGCACATTTTATCAGCTTCGCTTCGCTCACACATGGTGTAGAAAAGTATTAGCTGGTGTGTTTCACGGACATAGGCGTACGCACCTGGTCTCTTGGTCGAGTTCGAGAAGCCACATGCTTTCACACTAGATGAAACAAATGATTATATATATATATATATATATATATATATATATATATATATATATATATATATATATATATATAGCGATGGAATGCTTTTCGCAATTTCGCAATTGCCTGCCTTTGTTCCCTGCCTGGCTGTCTGACAACAAAGAAACAAAGATGGGAAGTAAAATTTTTGGTTTACTGAATGAACGCCTTCTACTGGCATTATCGACAAATAACCTGCGTCCTCATAACGGTTATGTTTAAAAAAAATAACGAAGCAGCAATGACTGAGCATTCATATGGGGCACACTATGCGAACCCCCTTAAGGTGAATAGAATGGAATACACCCCCCCCCCCTCTGCTCTCCCACTCCGTTCACGGCTATGTTCACGGAGGAACATCTGACAACGTTCTTACTTATCCCACACCGATTGATTGATTTGTGAGGTTTAACGTCCCAAAACCACGATATGATTATGAGAGACGCCGTAGTGGAGGGCTCCGGAAATTTTGACCACCTGGCACTTATCCCACACCATATACAGCATAACCTG